GTATTTTAACTATAATAGAAACTAAAATATTTAGATTTGAATCCTTTAACTAAATCTACAAATTATTAACCTACATGAAGTGTTTTAACAGTTCTACTTGTTGAATAAGTGAAAGTATACATAATTTCTTTATTTAAAAATGTTTCAAACATATTCTGAATTCCAATAGTATAATTACCAGAATTCTAATAAAATTAATCTTATGGTTATATTGATAAATAATTATTAAAAGTAATTAAATCATACGATTTAAGAGATGGTAATTGATTACCTTGATTTAAAGTTAAAGCTACTTACATTCTTGAAGAATGAATAGCAAATTCAATAGTTGGTTATTATTCATCAATTACTTCAACATTTTAATCCACTTAATTAAAATTAATAATGACTCTAAAATAATGAATTTTTTATTAACCATCTATTAATTATAATACTCCTCTATATGTTTCATCTTCTTTTAATACTTAAATATTGATATCTGCTTATTTAGTAACTTTAGCCATAAATTAAAAGATTGTAGCTTCTCTTGCTGTCAAAGTAATATAATATTGAGTATGTTTTAATTGATCTCCTCTAAGTACAACTAAATGATCTACTCCACCAAAATATTTTGCACATTCAATTCTAACAGGATAACAACTACTATCTCTACTAATCATATATACAATATTATGAGTATTAACTGTAAATACCAATTCTTCATCATCATCTGATTTTTAATATTTAAGTATTAAATGTTCTTCTTATGATTATTCCATATAATTAGTATAAGCAACATCAGATTTAAGAATACGTTAATTATTATCATTTTATATAGTCATCATATATATATTCTTATTATTACTTGATAATTCTAATTAATATATACAGAATCCTTCTTTATCTTTATTTTAACAATGTGGTGAAATATAAACTGCAGGTTTTTATTCATTTTTATGAAATCTCAAATTATGATTATCTTCATCATTTAATTAACAACCATTTTAACATTCTGCTATTCTAATAGAATTATCACCTTTTTCAAAGTATACTATTTTAATTCCTACTTCTTATTCACTTTCAATAGTTTTAAATAAATAATTATGTTTACCTTTATCTTATATTTTAGATAATATCAATTAATTATTATATAAGATGGCTTCATCAATCAATTTTACAACCATTAAATATTTCATAGAACCACCTTAACTTAAATTAATTGTCACTTCATCTCCTTCAATATCTTCTCTTCTCAAAATTATATGAAATGCTTATCCTCTCTATTATAATTATATTGGTTCTTATGAATTAAAATATATATTATCCTTCTTATGAACTTTCAATAATGGTAACATATCTCCTAAAATTCCTATTTATAAAATGTTAAATTTTTGAGGTAATATCAATTTATAAATATTTTCATCTCTTTCAAATAAATAATCCTATATTTCTTAATTTATTTCAATATCTTCTTCATCTTTATATAAATACAATTATCCATTAACTGTTGCTTCCTCTTTAATATTTAAATCTCCACTCAATACAGCCAATAATTTACATTTATCACAATCCTTTTTATTTATAGCTACTGTCAACTAAACTTCATCTCCATATAATTTTGCTTTTTCTTCAAATACTTCTATCTTTATTTTATCTGATTCATCATCTTCCAATTTAAATTCTCCCACCATCCTATTATAAGAACCTGATAAATGCATAGAAATCACTTAAACAGGTATCTTTTATGATAAAATGAGTTCTGTACTCTTACTATTCAATTCTATTGCATCATTATTTATTATTGTAATTCTACCTTTACATGGAATACTAATGCATTTTAAATTTATCTCATCAGATTTGATCGTAAATAATGCAGTCTCATAAAATTCATTCAACTTAAACTCTTCATCTTTACTTTTTAATTAGATCTCACCCAAATCACTTTTCTTCTCATCCTATTATGGTCTAACATATAGAATTATATAATCCTTATCCTACTTTTCAGGTAATTCCACTTATATTGATTTACCTTATTTTAAATCAAATAAGAAATCTTTCTGCTTTTTTGACAAAACTTAGATTACAACTAATAACATAACACAAATCCGAACCATCATTAATTTTATATTTAATTATTGTATAAATTCAAAATTATTCACAACATCATCAATTTGTTACATAAAATTATCTATAAATGATATCTTCTCATTATATAAACCATTCTTTCAATACTAATTATTTCCAAACTCTATCCTCATTATAATATTTAATAATATGGCAATAAATTTATTTTAATCCTCTAATACTAATAACATATTCAACCCATTCACTAATAACTCTAATCCTTTTCCAACATAAAATAAGTATAAATATGAATATCATCTATAGCTTTAATCCAACAGTCCCAGGTTCTTACAGAGGAACTTTCAAATCCCAAAGAATTACATATGGATTATTGGATGTTGATGATTAGAATACAAATTTATATACAACTAACATATTTATGTAACAAGAATATAAAGGAATTGTATAGAATTGATATTTATATAGAGTGCATTTCAAATTAGATTAGAAGATTATTATTTGATTAGATCACAATAAATATAGGACCATCATAAATCATAATTAGAAGTAGCTGTGAGGAAAAATAATTTTAATTCTAAATTGATAAGATTCACAAATTAACAAAGTTTTTATTACTTATTACAATAGATCTAAAACCGCCATAATTTCAAGATTAATATGATATATTCAAAAGATAAAACAATCCATTTAGCCAATCTAATGATCTCTTTAGATAATCCAATGGTAATTAAAATATATTCAACAATCCATCTAATAATAATAGAACAAACATTTTCCCCAATAATTCAAATGATTTATTCAATAAAAATAATAATAATCCATAGAATATATTTAATGCTCCTCCAGCTAATAATTTATTTAATACTAATAACAATTCAACAGCAAATTTATTTCAATAATAAACTAATAATTCAAATAACATCTTTTAATAAAATAATAGAACTTTTAATTCAGGAAATAATAATAATAATAATAATAATAATAATAATATTTTTAATTAATCTACTAATATTTTTAATTAATAACCCAACAATACTAATATCTTTAATAGTTAAAATCTCTTTTCCAATAATAATAATCTTTTTAATTCCAATAATATATTTAATCAACCTCAATAAAATATTTTTAATTAACCTATTATGTTTTAGTATCCTAATAATAGCAATATTGTTTAACCTATATTATAACCATCTTTATTAGGATCATTAGATTATTTGAAAATTTAAGAGAATTAATTTAAAGATTTTACATAATAAGTTGATTCTTAAATAGTGATGTTTGAATAATAGAAGTAATTGAGTTTAGAAGAATATGATTCTATGTTAAGAGACAGTTCTAAAATGAATTTCGATTATAGATTGTAAAATTAATATACTCAAAGTATGAAATCTACAAAATCTAATAAATTCTAAAATCAGAAATCTATCAGTTAAAATAATAAAACTTAAAGTATTCGTTAAGATAAAAAAACATCTTCTACATATTAAGCACATAGTTTGAATACAGAAACTAAAAGTATTTTTAATAGAGAAGATAGAAAACCCATATCAAAATTTTAAGATAATTGTCAATATACTGATTCTAAAAGTGAATTTAAAAGTTTTGTTTAAAGAGATGATAGAAAATCATAATAAATGTATTGGGTTGATATAGAAATTAAATTTTTAGAAAGTGAAAAGTTTTTATCTATTTACTAAGAATTTTAAAATAAATGTAGAATTTACAATGTTAAATAATTTATAGAAGATCATCTTGAAAATATTGAANCTTTTTCTTCAAATACTTCTATCTTTATTTTATCTGATTCATCATCTTCCAATTTAAATTCTCCCACCATCCTATTATAAGAACCTGATAAATGCATAGAAATCACTTAAACAGGTATCTTTTATGATAAAATGAGTTCTGTACTCTTACTATTCAATTCTATTGCATCATTATTTATTATTGTAATTCTACCTTTACATGGAATACTAATGCATTTTAAATTTATCTCATCAGATTTGATCGTAAATAATGCAGTCTCATAAAATTCATTCAACTTAAACTCTTCATCTTTACTTTTTAATTAGATCTCACCCAAATCACTTTTCTTCTCATCCTATTATGGTCTAACATATAGAATTATATAATCCTTATCCTACTTTTCAGGTAATTCCACTTATATTGATTTACCTTATTTTAAATCAAATAAGAAATCTTTCTGCTTTTTTGACAAAACTTAGATTACAACTAATAACATAACACAAATCCGAACCATCATTAATTTTATATTTAATTATTGTATAAATTCAAAATTATTCACAACATCATCAATTTGTTACATAAAATTATCTATAAATGATATCTTCTCATTATATAAACCATTCTTTCAATACTAATTATTTCCAAACTCTATCCTCATTATAATATTTAATAATATGGCAATAAATTTATTTTAATCCTCTAATACTAATAACATATTCAACCCATTCACTAATAACTCTAATCCTTTTCCAACATAAAATAAGTATAAATATGAATATCATCTATAGCTTTAATCCAACAGTCCCAGGTTCTTACAGAGGAACTTTCAAATCCCAAAGAATTACATATGGATTATTGGATGTTGATGATTAGAATACAAATTTATATACAACTAACATATTTATGTAACAAGAATATAAAGGAATTGTATAGAATTGATATTTATATAGAGTGCATTTCAAATTAGATTAGAAGATTATTATTTGATTAGATCACAATAAATATAGGACCATCATAAATCATAATTAGAAGTAGCTGTGAGGAAAAATAATTTTAATTCTAAATTGATAAGATTCACAAATTAACAAAGTTTTTATTACTTATTACAATAGATCTAAAACCGCCATAATTTCAAGATTAATATGATATATTCAAAAGATAAAACAATCCATTTAGCCAATCTAATGATCTCTTTAGATAATCCAATGGTAATTAAAATATATTCAACAATCCATCTAATAATAATAGAACAAACATTTTCCCCAATAATTCAAATGATTTATTCAATAAAAATAATAATAATCCATAGAATATATTTAATGCTCCTCCAGCTAATAATTTATTTAATACTAATAACAATTCAACAGCAAATTTATTTCAATAATAAACTAATAATTCAAATAACATCTTTTAATAAAATAATAGAACTTTTAATTCAGGAAATAATAATAATAATAATAATAATAATAATAATATTTTTAATTAATCTACTAATATTTTTAATTAATAACCCAACAATACTAATATCTTTAATAGTTAAAATCTCTTTTCCAATAATAATAATCTTTTTAATTCCAATAATATATTTAATCAACCTCAATAAAATATTTTTAATTAACCTATTATGTTTTAGTATCCTAATAATAGCAATATTGTTTAACCTATATTATAACCATCTTTATTAGGATCATTAGATTATTTGAAAATTTAAGAGAATTAATTTAAAGATTTTACATAATAAGTTGATTCTTAAATAGTGATGTTTGAATAATAGAAGTAATTGAGTTTAGAAGAATATGATTCTATGTTAAGAGACAGTTCTAAAATGAATTTCGATTATAGATTGTAAAATTAATATACTCAAAGTATGAAATCTACAAAATCTAATAAATTCTAAAATCAGAAATCTATCAGTTAAAATAATAAAACTTAAAGTATTCGTTAAGATAAAAAAACATCTTCTACATATTAAGCACATAGTTTGAATACAGAAACTAAAAGTATTTTTAATAGAGAAGATAGAAAACCCATATCAAAATTTTAAGATAATTGTCAATATACTGATTCTAAAAGTGAATTTAAAAGTTTTGTTTAAAGAGATGATAGAAAATCATAATAAATGTATTGGGTTGATATAGAAATTAAATTTTTAGAAAGTGAAAAGTTTTTATCTATTTACTAAGAATTTTAAAATAAATGTAGAATTTACAATGTTAAATAATTTATAGAAGATCATCTTGAAAATATTGAAATTTTTGGTTCATTATCATAATAATATTTTAGCAATTGTTTAATTTATAATGAAAATAATCTCATTATTGATAATTCAATCTCACTTTCCAAATTATCAGAACATAGATTAACATTCCATTATTTTTATGTCAAATTACCTAAATTAATTAGAAATGGATATTAATCCAATATACATGAATTTCCTGATCTTAAATAAGTATAAAACTTTAAAGTTTCCAATTAATTTGGTAAGATTGTTTGGACTCAACCAATTAATATATATTATATAGATTTAGATAAAGTTATTGATATTTAATAGGAATCAATTGAAGTTTATGATAATACTAAAATACATCAATTATTAAAACCAGATATTGGTGTTAAGTTAAATACTGAAAGTTTAATTACATTTAAATTTTAATTGAAAAATCCTTAAATAAATGAAACCAAATTTAAAAACAATTTGATAGTTTAAGCATAAAAATAAGGCTTATAATTTATATCAATTGATTTCTTAAATTAGGAATATACTGTAAAAGCTTTTCATTTTAGTGGATATCATTTTAATTCTGATTATTCTAATACTGATAATCAAAATTATTAAGATTAATAATAATAGGCAGAAATACAAACTAGTGGAGATGGAGATATATCTGAATCAGAAGAAAATGATTCTTTGTCTTTAGAAAATCAAAGTTAATTTTCACTTTAATTAAAATAATAATTTGATATTAATTATTAGAATTTGAGAAATAAAGAGAAATAAATTAATAATCAATCTTCAAATGAAATTATAAATAAATTTAATTAAAAACTATCTCAAAAAATAGTGATTCCACTTAATTTTGTTTAATAACATTAATAATTGCAAATTGATTAGAAATTACTTCAACATTACTTTGATAATTGTTAAAATTCAAATCAAATAAAAAATAGTTAAAATATATCTATTTTATTACTTGATAGTTTATATTAATGTATGAATCCAAGTGAGGAAATAATAAGATCATTTTAATTATTTAATATATTATTTGGTATTCCAACAATAGATATTGTTCACTTTCTATAATTGCAATCAAATTATTTGATATCATTAAAAGATGTTATGAATATTCCAAAAATAAAAAATATAAGAGGATTACGTTTAAGTTTATATTTAGAATAATTTAAAATATATTTTACATAAGTAGAATTTAGAGAATAACAAATATCTTAATAATAATAAAATTTAATTTAAAATGTCTTTATTAGTTTAAATATAAAACCTAATACTTATAAAAAGATTAAATTAAATCAAAATGATTGGATTGATAGATTTACAGATTGGAGAATTAATAAATCTTAACCATAACCATTATATGAAATTTAATGGTGGAAAGAATTATACAATGAATAAAAAAATTATTAGATAGTGTCATCATAATATGCTGCATTAATATACTATTTACTTAAGAAAACTGAATAACCACTCAAAGAATATTAAAAACTGTATGAATATTTACATAATAATCTTGATACATATACAATAATTTTATTAAATATCATACTTAGTAAATAAAAAAAAGTATCAGAATAATTAAAAATAATTGGACGTGCTGTTATTACAAAATTATTGAAATCTTCAATATCTAAATAATTGATATTTAGTATCCTAGAGACATTTAGAGATAAAGTGTTTTAGAAGGAAGAAATGTTAAGAGTTTAGTAAATACTAGGAAAATTGGAATATTTTAATAATTTAAATAGTAAGGATGTTAATGATGTGGATGTATAAATAGACAAAAAACAGTTTATTTAAGCTGCAAAAATCATAATAGAAAAAAAGTTGGAGAATCAATACTATACTATTTTAAATGAAACTATATTGCCTTATTTAATTATTTGTGATTATTATAATGAAAATGATTTAAGAGTGATTATTAAACATATAATCAAAAATAATAATTGTAAAGAAAATGATATAATAATAATATGTTAGGTATGATTATATTTTAGTTTAGATGTATTTAAAAGAAAGAAATATAGATGAGTCATTAATTATGAAATGGATAACAAAAAATGAATATCAATATCATATGAAATAGATCATGTTAAAAGTATGCACTGATTAATTTTGATAGTATTTACATATTTAATTAATTTATCCATTTAGAATATGATTATATTTGATGAACAAATAATGTATTTGATAATTAAATGTTTTTATTTATAATTTTATATATATCTGTAGGGAAAGATAGCCATTATTTGGGATCAATAAAACATACACTTTAACCTAATTAAACATTTGAGCACTAATTCTTTGATGTAAATCAAATTAGATCACTTGATTTGTACTTCCCTGATCCTCCATATAGAATGATTAATGATGAGGATATGAATTGTTATTGGTCCAATTAAGCTATTGGACTTAAACCAGTATAAACAATAGAGATGAGTGTATCAAATTCATTAGATTCAGATATTGTATGTTTTGATGAATGCTTTATAAGATAAGGATAGATAATCTATACAACAAAAAATTAAACAATTGAACTTTAATATTAGAATTTAAAGTAATTAGTATTGGCATCAGAAGGATAAATAATTTATTATAATGAAAAAAGTGTTAGTATATTTGATACTATTAATATGAAAATAATAAATGAAAATTTATTTGCTGATTTTACATCTAAATTAAAATAGAGTTTAATGGGTTATTAACATATGTCAACAAAAATAATTTATTTATGTTTAGACAATGGAGTATTTGCTTATAATGATGAATATTTTATAATACATTAATATGGAAATGGATGCAAATAAATTATATTATAAGATGATAATTTATTTATTATAAATGAAGGAATAATAATTTATGATATAAATGATCCTTTTGAACCTATTAATATGTATTCATTTAATATAAGTGGTCATTATTTTGATATTTATTAAGATTATTTGGCAGTCTTGGAATTATTGAATTAATAAAGAGGGAAATTAAGTTTATTTAAATTTAATTTTCAATTTGGATAAAATGAGGTAGTAAATATAACTTAGGAATCAGAAGGTATAATTTAATTAGATTCTGAAGATATTAGATTTGGATTATTAAATAAAGATATTGCTATTATAATAAATAAAGAGTA